GAGAAGTGGCAAAGAGCTACCTGGTATTGAGCACAACAATGTGATCATTGAGGACAATGATCAAACTGAGGGGGAGGCAGACTTAAAGGATGATCAAGTTGCTGAAAGATCAAGGAAAGAAAAGGGTAAAGAGGTGGAAAAAGAACCTGAACCAGAGACTATATGTTCCACCACCTCCATACCAACCCAAGCTCCCATTTCCAGGAAGATTTAAGAAGCAGCTTGTAGACAAGGCAAGAGCTATATTTGAGAAGGTTCTCAATGAGACACCACTCACAATGCCTCTCATTGATGCATTTCTAATGATGCCAAAGATGGGTAAGTTTTTTAAAGATGCTATTCTGAACAAGACTAAAGAGCTTCAAGGTATGGTGGTATTGAGTCATAAATGCAGTGCCATCATTCAGAGAAAGTCCATTCCAAGAAAGTTAACTGATCCAGGGAGCTTCACACTCCCTTGCGCCATAGGTTCCCTGATGTTTTCTGGGTGCTTTGTGATCTGGGAGCATCTGTCAGCTTAATGCCATTCTCCATAGCAAGGAAGCTTGGATATAGAGTGTTCAAACCTGCTAGGATCTCTCTTGTCCTTGCAGACAGATCAGTTAGGTTACCTGTTGGGATGTTGGAAGATTTGCCTGTTAAGATAGGTGGTTTTGAGGTTCCTACTGATTTTATTGTTCTAGAGATGGATGAAGAACCAGCTGATCCATTGATTTTGGGCAGACAATTCCTACCCACAGCTGCAGCAATTATTGATGTAAGAGGTGGCATCATTGAGCTGCAACTTGGTAAAGAGAAGCTGAAGTTTGATATCAAAGACATGATGAAAAACCCTACAATTGAAGGAAAATGCTTCTATGTTGAGACAATGGATGAGCTTGCTGATGAGCTCCTAGAAGAGTTAAACACAAAAGATCATCTTCAGATAGCTTTAACAAAGGAACATGGAGATCATGGCTACCTTGAGGATGAAACTTTGGAGCTCATGAAGCTTTTGGAGTCTCACAAACCAGAGGGGAGCACCAGTTCTTACCTGAACCTGCATTATGAAGGATCAGAAGTTGAAGAGGACCAGTTTAGAAGCTCAGAAACGCCAATGGTTTGCATTCATACCGACCAAAATTCAGTAGGTATTTTGCTCGGTGCTGAGGGAACCATTTTGCCGGTGGGTGTGATAAGATGGATTCTGCCGTGTGTATATCGACTGAATATACCGACCAAAAGTCAGTCGGTGTGAACATGATGGCTGGTTCAGAAACGGGTTCTCAAGAGGCTGTAGGGGTTGTTCAGAGGCAAGAGAACAATGCTGAGGACAAATCACAAGAAGAACAGCCACAACAAGCCTCTCAAGCAGCTTGGGAAAGAGATTGGGATGCAAACAAAGCACCTCAAGTGGAACTCAAACCTCTTCCCAAGGGGCTCAGGTATGCTTTCTTAGGTCTCAATGAGTCTTATCCTGTCATTATCAATGATATGCTGTTAGAGGACCAAGAGCATAGGTTGTTAGAAGAGTTGAGGAAACATAGGGGAGCCATTGGCTACTCTCTGGATGACATAAAGGGTATCTCACCCTTCCTATGCACTCATAGGATTCACTTAGAAGAAGAGTCTATGTCATCCATAGAGGAACCAAAGGCGTCTCAATCCCAACTTAAAAGAAGTAGTGAAGAAAAAGACTCTCAAACTCCTAGAGACTGGGATAATTTACCCAATCTCAGACTCGAGATGGGTTTCACCAGTCCATGTGGTGCCCAAAAAGGGGGGAATGACAGTAATAAGAAATGAGAAGGATGAGCTGATTGCTACTAGAACTATAACTGGACACAGGATGTGAATAGATTATAGGAAGCTCAATGCAGCCTCTAGGAAAGATCATTTTCCTTTGCCTTTAATTGATCAAATGCTAGAGAGGCTTGCAAACCATCCCTTCTTTTGTTTTCTAGATGGTTACTATGGATTCTTTCAAATCCCCATAGATCCAAGAGACCAAGAGAATACCACATTTACTTGTCCTTATGGTACATTTGCATACAGGTGCATGCCTTTTGGCCTTTGTAACGCCCCTGCCACATTCCAGCGATGCATGATGCATATATTCTCTTACATCATTGAAAAGAAGGTGGATGTGTTCATGAACGACTTTTCTGTCTATGGCTACTCCTTCTCTGATTGTATTTCTAACTTGTCGCAGGTCCTGGAGAGATGTGAGCAGCATAACCTGGTGCTGAACTGGGAGAAGTGCCATTTCATGGTGCAGGAAGGGATTGTACTTGGGCATAAGATCTCGGAGAAGGGCATAGAGGTTGACAGAGCAAAGGTGGAAGTGATGGTGAATCTGCAAGCTCCCGATTCAGTCAAAGGGATAAGGAGCTTCCTTGGGCATACAGAGTTTTACAGAAGATTCATCAAAGATTTTTCAAGAATAGCTAGGCCTCTGACTAGGCTGTTGTGCAAAGAGGTTGACTTTGTCTTTGATGCTGAGTGTGAAGAAGCCTTCAAGAAGATCAAGGATGCATTAGTCAGTGCACCTATCGTTCAGGCCCCAGACTGGTCTCTTCCTTTTGAGGTTATGACTGATGCTTCAGACTAGGCAGTTGGAGCTGTGCTTGGTCAGAGGAAGGATAGGAAGCTTCATGTCATCTACTATGCCAGCAGAACCCTTGATTCTGCCCAGGAGAGGTATGCTACCAAAGAGAAGGAAATGTTGGCAATAGTCTTTGCATTTGTTAAATTTAGAAGCTACCTGGTGGGATCAAAAGTCATTGTATACACTGATCATGCAGCCCTCAGGTATCTAATGACCAAGAAGGATGCCAAGCCTAGACTATTGAGATGGGTCCTCTTACTTCAGGAGTTTGATATGGAAGTACAAAACAAGAAGGCTATAGAGAATGGAGCTGCAGACCATCTCTCTAGGTTAACAGTGGACTCTGAAGTCCCTCTTAATGACTCTCTCCCTGAGGAATCATTGATGGTGCTCAACTCTTATTTGGAGTTTGAAGAAATGGATAGCATCCAAGAGAAGAGAATGCCCTGGTTTGCTGACATTGTGAACTTTCTTGCTTGTGGAGTGGAACCACCAGAGCTTTATGCTTACCACAGAAAGAAGTTCTTCAAATATATCCAGAGATACCATTGGGATGAACCTTACCTGTATGTTCTGAACAAAGATCAGCTGTATAGAAGGTGTCTTGCTGAAGAGGAGATGCAACCTGTGTTGCAAGAGTGCCATGGATCAGCTTTTGGGGGTCACATGGGAGCATTCAAGACTGTGGCCAAGGTTCTTCAGAGTGGGTTCTGGTGGCCCACAATGTTCAAGGACGCTCAAGGAGTTGTTTCAGCATGTGATGCCTGTCAGAGGCATGGGAACATTTCAAAGAGAAGTGAGATGCCTTAAAATCTAATATTGGAGGTTGAAGTTTTTGATTGTTGGGGAGTGGACTTTATGGGGCCTTTCATCTCATCTTATGGGAATCAGTACATATTAGTAGCTGTGGACTATGTGTCCAAATGGGTTAAGGCTATTGCTTCCCCTACCAATGATTCCAAGGTGGTGGTCAGATTGTTCAAGAACATAATCTTCCCAAGATTTGGAGTACTCAGGGTTGTTATTTCTGATGGAGGGTCTCATTTTGTGAACAAAGCCTTGGAGGGATTGCTGAGGAAGCATGGAGTGAAACATAAGGTAGCTACTCCTTATCATCCTCAAACTAGTGGCCAGGTTGAAGTGTCTAATAGACAAATTAAGGCCATTCTTGAGAAGACTGTTAGCTCAAGCAGAAAAGATTGGAGCAAAAGGCTGGATGATGCATTGTGGGCTTATAGAACAGCCTTTAAGACTCCAATTGGGACATCCCCTTTCAATCTGCGATATGGGAAGAGCTGCCACCTTCCTGTTGAGCTGGAGTACAAGGCATTATGGGCTGTGAAGTTGCTGAACTTTGATATCAAAACAGCTCAAGAGAAAAGGATAATTCAACTCCATGAACTTGAAGAGATCAGGTTGGGGGCTTTTGAGAGCTCCAAGATCTATAAAGAAAAGACCAAGGCTCTACATGATCAAAAGCTTTTGAAAAGGGAGTCCAAGAAAGGTGACTTGGTGTTGCTGTTCAACTCTAGGCTTAAGTTATTTCCTGGAAAACTTAAGTCTAGATGGTCTGGTCCCTTTAAGATTCTTGAAGTTAGGCCATATGGAGCTGTTGTGTTAGAAGGTAAAGACGGTCAAGAGTTTGTGGTAAATGGTCAGAGGATCAAGCACTACCTAGTCTCACAAAGGAAGGAGGAAGCTACGTCAGTTCCCCTTCTTGATCCACCATCAGCATACTTAAAAACTTTAAACAAAGTGCTCTTGGGAGACACCCCAAGCTTATCACTTGTACATACTTTCTTTCTTGCTTTCTTTTGAACTTTTAGGACTTTTTGAAGTGTTTTCTTGAGTGTGTGTAGGTCTAAAATGGTTTAGGAGTTGTCTTGTGGGGATTTTGATGCAGAACAGTTCAAAAATCGGGTGTGAATCGCATTAGTATCGACTGAATTGTACTTGGTGCATTCACTCGGTGTGGAGGTTTTAGTATGACCGAATGAATATCGACCAAAACACCGAGTGAAATGTAGTCGGTATGGTGTCAAGAGGAGCCAACCGTGACCAGCACCAAGGAGATTTCAGTCGGTGTTTTTAGTCGATATTCTGCTTGAGAAATGCGAATAAATATCGACTAAAACACCAACCAAAATTCAGTCGATACTACCTGGAGGGAAGATACAAAAAAAAAAATGTGGCCCCAAGCTCTCCATGGTCAAAGTCAAACCTCCAGCTGTCAACAGCTGTCTCCCACAAGCAAGGAGAAAGCAGGACCACAGAGAGAAAATCGATTTCTCCATTGTTACTCTGTAAAAGCTCTCTCATCTGCTTGAAATCGATTTTTAGCCTCCATTAAACTGAGCTTGAATCCATTCTTGCACTGCATCATTCAACTCCAAGGTACATTCCGAGCTCAAGCATCTCATCCTTCTTGGTTTTAACCGGTTAGATTCTTTGCAACTTCTTGAACCGATTTCTTGTGGGTCTGACCTTGGAGTAGCTTAGATGAGCTTGGAATCTTGGGGTTTAGGTTGTGAATGGTAGGGAAAGAACCCGCTTGAGCTTGTTAGACTCTGAAATCTAGCTAAAACTCTCTCAGTTGTACTTGTGTTCTTGAGCTGTTGTTGGGATTTTAGAAAATTCTGTTGAGTTTGGATTTTGATGTTTGGACTTGGAATGGATTGATATGATGTTGCTTGAATTTATCCTGATGATTTTCTTGCAAGCAAAAATCATTTTCAAATTTTTTGAGACTAAATCCCTCTCATTGCGCTAATGGCTCTTTTTGAGATTCCTTGATGAATCAGGTACCATGGGAAGAACAGATGAAGCAGGCTCAAGTGTTGCTGCACCAAAGCCGCCAAAGAGAACTTATGGGAAAGCTTGTGCTTCAGAACCCAAAGGGAAATCAGTTGCAGCCAATGTCAAAACAAAGGGGAAGGGCATTGCAACTAGCTCAAGAGCAAATGGGAAGGAAAAGAGAGCTGAGAGGAGCTCAAGTGAGGAGTTAAGTGAGGAAGATGCCAATGTCGTTGTACCTGCAGCTGAACCACCAAAAAAGAAAAAGGTGGTTAAGAAGCCAAAAGCAAAGCCTCCCACTTACTCTGAGTACTTGAGAAAGCTTAGATCTATGAAACAAGAAGAGACTTTCTACCCTGACCTTGATCTGCTGCAGAGACTTGGGATTCTCGATGAGGTCAGGGGTGTTCTTCACACAATTGGTCTTGGTAACTTGATGGAGATGCTACATCCTTCTTATAAGGATGTCACTTGTCAGTTTCTTGCTTCTTTGCAAGTAAACCACCACAATGAAGAGGGACCAGACAACATTGCTGCTGGTTTTGGGTCAATAGAGTTCAAGATCGGTAAGGAACAGTATGAGGTAACTTTCAGAGAAATCAGTGATGCTTTTGGGTTCCCTGTTGAAGGAAGAAGCTGCCTCAGGAAACTGGCCTACTATGGAAATGATTTGCAACAGTTGTGGTGGGCTTTAGCCGCCGGTTCATATGAGGCTGGAGTGAGCAAAGCCGCAGCAATCAGGAGTCCTGCTTTGAGAATGGTACACAAGATCCTGGCCGACACATTCTTGGGAAAGAAAGAGTATTCCACTGTATATGATGCTGAGGTGATGATGATTGGTGAGGGGCTTAAACCTTTGATGCCTTCATTTAAAAGTGGACAGATTTTTTATGGTGATTCTCGCAAGCCTACAATGGCGGCTCTGCTTGTCAAGAACTTCATGGCCATTAAGAAATGGGCGCATAACAACAGAATAAAGGAGCCAAGTATGCGCATTGGAGGCCTGATCACTCCCATCTTGCAGCATATTGGAGTTGAGCTAAGTGGTGATAAGATCGGCTACAGGTTGATGGATGCTTATCTTAAGAAGATCAACTATCTTCATGGCACTGTTGGAGAATTTTATGCCTACAACTTCACTCTTGAAGAAAAGATTACTGCTAGAGTCTTGTTTCCCAATCGAGCCCTTACCTCACTTGCAGAGAGAAAGAACATTGCTTTTTATATCACCAAAGATCAGTACTACAACCCAGAGATTCACCCTCCTGTTCAGCTGATCAGAAAGCCCAATGCTGCCAAAAAGCCGTGTGTGAACACACCTGCTGAGGAGTCAAACCATGTTAATACCGAGCTTGAATTGCCAAGACCAATCTATGGGAGCCGCAGGTATTGTCTTGATCCTTATGATGGCCCCATGATGAACAACGCCACTGAAGCTGCTCATCGCCGCACCAAGAATCTCCAGAGGTGGAACAAATGGAAAGACAAGAACTTTAAGAAGATGGCCGGTACTGTAAGGAGCCTGGTGTACACAGTTAAGAAGATGGGTTCTAAGATCAAGAAGCTGAACGCAAGCTTGAGAGGTACCAAAGAGGTGAAGCCGCTGAGAGTTCATGCCATGAAGAGCTGTTGAGGACTTGTGCCGGTCCGTATGAGCAAGATCCGAATGATGAGGAGCTAAGGGCCAGGAGGGAGGCAATGCAATCACCATCAGACCAATCCTCCAATCCATCAGTCTCAATGGGGTCTCCAGCCCCATCTCTAAGTCCTTGAGAAGGTAACACTCCACTCTTGTAAATATGCATCTAGCTTAGTTTATTTTCACTTTCCATTTTGTGATTTTTCTTTGCACTTCTCCTTCATGCTTTTATAACACAAGGGACTGTGTTATCTAAGTGTGGGGGAGGGGTTTTATGTTTACTAATCATGTTTATTCTGCTCTTATTTTCCTTTTCACTTTGAGTCTCATTTTGCATTCATCTAAGTGCATATAAAAACCAAAAAAAAATTAAAAATTCTGAAAAATTTTCACAAAAAAATGCTCATGTAGTTGCATTCACATTTTAGATTGAGTCTAGTTTGCATTTTCATATAGGTTGCATCATATGCAAATGGGAGTAATGATAGATTTTTTTCTTGAAGAGAGCATCATTTTAAGAGTTTGGTCCTTTAATGCATTGCAAAACTGGTATGAAATCAAGTGTGAACCATGCTTTGAACTGGTGTCTCAATACTTCTATGCTAGCTGGATCGAGTTGTGAATAGCCTCAACCTTGCTTAAGTGAGAACCCTTGAATTTGACATCTAATTATCATGTTTGTGCATATCATTGTGAATTCATGGGTACCACATACATATTTGAGATTTCTTATCCCTTTTAATCACTCTTGCTAGCTCAAATAGCTGATCTCTCATCTTGAGACAGTTCCCGGCCTTTAGCCAAACCTTTCTTTGAAGCCTAAACACCCTTCTTGTGTACATGATTTGTGAGGCCTTGTTTCTAGTAGACTTGGTAAAAAGTGTTGGGTTTAGAGCGACAAAGATAGTGCTGCATGTAGACACTAGTCCAACATCAAGGGCTAGTCTAGGTTTAGGTGAAACTGAGAGCATTGATTTGGAGTTGTGAGCTGAAAAAGAAAAAAAAAATCTGAGTGATGAAAGTGGAAAGAACCGGATTGGTTGGGGGAATGAATGCTAAAATGAAAGAAAGTGAGTGTGTGCTGAAATGTAAAGCTCATGTGTTGAAATGAAAAGAGTCTCATGAAAAGAAAAAAAAAAGGAAAGATTCAAAAAGAGGCTGGATTAAGGAAGAGCTTGTGTGTTAAAGAAAAGAAACACACTAAGTGGTTGTTAAAGAAAGCATTCCCCAAAGAGATGAAATGAAGAGAGTAATGTGAGCTGATTGAGTGTCAAAGACAAATTGCCATTTGGGGTGAGTAGGCTAGAGAAAGAGTCTAGAGAGGTTTAAAGTTGAGTGTGAAAAGCATTTTGGGTGTGGGGTAGATGCAGTTCTATCTTTGTATGCATCCATTGCTTTTTACCCTTAGCATTTTACTGAAGTCTACTAATTTTTGAGTGATCCCCTTGCATGGAGTACCAGTTACTTGATTGAGATCATTTTAATCTCAAAACACAGTCCCAAGCCAAATGAATTCACTTGATTTGCATGAACATGATCCATTTGAAAATTTTAATGAATGTCAAAAGGTTGAGGTTAGGAATGCTTGTGAAGGTTGGTGCTTGAGTTTGGTTCATTTGGTGACAAGTATGGCTAATTTTTATGAGTAAACCAGTTTGCATTGCAGTCTAGAATTGGTAACTTGAACAATGAGCTTTGAATTCTTTTAATGATGATCTCTCTTTAAAGAAATATGAACTCCCATGCATTCAACCTCTCTCTCTCTCATTTGTTCTTGTTTGCTTGAGGACAAGCAAAGCACAAGTGTGGGGGAGTTGATATACACATATTTTGTCATGATTAGGATTGCATTTTTGTCCAAATATTGAGTCTCATGCATACATTTAGCTAGTTTTATTAGAGTTTGTCTTTAGTTCTAGCTTTGTTTAAGATTTGCATTAGGTCCAAGAGTGTCCTGCATTTTTGTAGTGTTCTCAGGTCATTTTGAGACTTTTGGGAGCAACTTGGAGCTGGGATCACGGAGGAACCCTTGCCTGTGTACAGCAACTCGGAAAGATGGTTTGATGCCGACGAAACCTCTACTTTGATCGCGTGAGACGAAGGGCTTGCCCTGTCATTCATTCTCCGGTGTCTTCATCAAAAATCAATAGGGTCGAGTATAGTTTCCATAACACTTGAGAAAGTCCCATTTGGAGTTGTGAGCTGAAAGTTACGGTGATTGGAAGCAGTGCATGTCTCGGAGCCGATAAAGGACCAAAGCAACGCGCGTCAAAGAACTGGTGGAACGGAGCCTTTGCCGACGTCACCTGAGCTCGAGCCCTTCACCAAGATTGTAGCTAAAGACGTCATCTGGCTCATGGAGTTGGAAGATCGAGGTTCGGACCAGCGAGCAAGGAGTTATGAAACATTTGGTGCAGGAAATTTGTATTCATACCGACCAGTGGCACCGACTGAAAGTCAGTCGGTATGAATGCAAACAAAACCTGACTTTTGCTGATCCTTGGAGTTAAAATTTGCCGCATGAATGCAGAAGAGCCACACCGAGTAAAAGTCAATCGGTGTCCGTCCCTGAAGCTATTCTTTACGCGGCACCGAGCAAAACACCGAGTGAAGTTCTGGTCTAGATTCTGTCTAAGAGATTCTTAACGCCACACCGACCAAAAGCACCGACCGAAAGTCAGTCGATACAACCTCGAAGAAGGACGTTTTCATGGGCCTTTTTGGGGCCAAAACCTAGTTTGTTCTAGGTTGGCCCATCTAGAAATCCTACCTATATATATGTTTTAAACATTATCCAGCAGACTTAAGCTTGATTCTCTTTGTTTTCTTTGCCTCTTTTCTGAAAAACCTAAACTTTGTAAGAGAGATCTTCATTTTCTGGGTTGAATCAAGAGAGTAATTAGGGTTTAAAGCTGAAATCCATCATTATCTATCATCTCCATCTTCATCTTTGATGCGGACATCAACCCATCAAGACGACTCATGGTGATCTCAACACTTGGAAGAACTAGGTGCAACGGACATGAGAGTCTAGCCAAGGGTAAAGGAGAGACGATCTCCCTTGTTGAACAAGTTAATGGCGAAGGGGAGACGACTGTCATTAATTTGTTCTCTCTAGACTCCTATCCCATCACCAGGAATCCATTAGATCACTCAATCTTAACCGGACCAAACCAAAGAAGAGGCAACCAATCTATTGAAGATTCTGCTCAGCCCAAAAAGAGCCACGAGCCTTGTTCAGGCCAAATGAAGTCCAAAAACAAGTGTTACAGCCCAACTACTACTTGGATTACCTTCCTAGCTCAGCCAGAGCACGCCTCGAAGTGGAATCAGTCCAATTGGAGTTCAGATGAAGGAGTTATTAAGTTTATAAATCAGGTGATACTCAACTTACCCGATTTGGACATATCCGCCTTAATTGGAGAATTACGACTAAACCAAGAGGAATTAAGCTCTAAACCGACTTGTTCTGGAATCTTGACTCATCAAAAAATCACAGAGAATTGGAATCAGACTGATATCGATTTTGGTTTAGGAGATATTCAATCTTTAAACCAATGGATCCTCCACTTGCCTTATTTGGAACCTTCCGGGTTTTGGAGACTTCAAACATATCAGTGGCGCCCAGGAGACTCTGAGTTACTTGTAGAAGCTTTCTACAACATCCTAAGGTGCACCAACATGCATTGGATCAGGCGGATCCAATTGAGTTCTCAATTAAGCCAACCGGAGCCGTTTAAGGAAAGTATGAAGACTGACCGGTTCAATCTCTTACAAACCCGATTTTGGCGACCAGGAGAGTTTCTTATACATGTAGAGGAGTCTACAAACGTCTTACCATGCTCCAGAAACCACAGGATCAGGCGGATCCTCATATTTGTACACTTTCCTTTTCCGGAAGCATTCACACTTGGAGGAATATCTCACCAACGGCTCTTTTCTCTTGAATGCTACGACTTGGACGTGTTTTATGAAGAAACTAATGTGCCAGAGAAGCTCACCTATCCCCTCAAACCGTCCAGATACAAAGGCTACATCACTTCCTCTACTTTGGCCGATTCTCGCCATAATAGCTCCAACGGCTATATTCTCTTATTGCTAAGATTTCTTTTCTTCTTTTTAGACTTTAGAACGTTGTAAGAGCTCTATATAAAGCTCATTATATCATTTGTACAAATCACCATTCAATATTAAAGTAATAAAGCATTTTCGTTTTTCTTCAAAGAGAGTTCTTTGCAAGAGTTGTTTCTTTTGAATATTGTGTGTGATTCACATTGTTCATTAGAATTCTTGGATTAAACTATTTGTGTGATTCAAGTAGTTTGTTCGATCACTTGATAGAGAGAGTCTATCATCAACAGATTGAGTGAGTCAATCATCCTATCATCGCGCCATCTCTACCATCTATTCCACCTTCCGCCAACAAAGCTTGTTGTCTTTGACAACCTTGTGAATTATAAGACTTGGTGTGATTCCAATCTTATATCATTTGGCATCAGAGCACAAGTTCCTATCAAGGTGCTTTTGTTCTTATCTTTTTCTTTTTGTTATTTCAGTTTTTGTTTCATCATAAAATTTAAAACCCATAAAAAACTTGTTTCAGTTTTGTTTTCATTGCTTTGTTATTTGATTTCTTTTATAAACTCAAAAACCAAAGAAAAATTATTTATTTGTTTTATTTAATCTCGTTTCATAAAAAGAAAATCCACAAAAATATTTGTTGTTATTGATTTCTCTTTATTTTTTGTTTTTGTATTATTTCCATTTTTACAACAAAAAAAAACACAGAAAAAAAAAATATTCCTTGCTTTTTAAATATTCTGTAGTTTAATTTAATTTTCGAAAATCAGAAAAAAATAAAAATAAGAAATTTTCTTTTGTTATTTAAGTTTTTGAATTTGTTGAAGAAAAAAAAAAAAAAACAAATTTGGCCATTTTCTTATTTTTGAAAAAAAAAAAAAAAACTCTCTCTCTTTCCTTTTCTTGTCTAGAACGAAACTGATCCACCTTTTTCCTCTTTGGTTTTACGAGATAAATCCTAAGGAGCAGCCACCATGGATTCTAGTGAAGAAGATGAGCCCATAGGGTTCAATGGAGATGAATCTGATGGTTCAATCCAAGGGTGGTCCGATGAAGAAGCTTATTATGAGTCTCCACCATGGCCAGGAGATGCTGACTTAAGCTCTTACTATGGAGAAAAATCAGATGAAGAC